TCTCTCTCTCTCCCCCTCTCTCCCCCTCTCTCCCCCTCTCTCCCTCTCCCTCTCTCCCTCCCCCTCACACACTCACATACACACACACACACACACACACACACACACACACACACACACACAAAGTGTCTGTTTCCTCAGGAAATCATTTAAACCCCAACACATCACATGTGACCTTAACATGAAAACAGAAGTTTTCTCTGCCTTGATATTAAATACACCAAGTAAATAAACTGGGACACATAGGTTAGAAAAATCACTGAATTGTACCATAGTCTGAATATCTTGCATTCTTCCAGGCAGGATTTACTACCATTCAGGCTCCCATCAGGAACAGCTGTGTGGGCCTGTGGCTCTCACACCCAGTGTTCCGCTTGTCACTTACCCCCATCCAAGAGCACATTTGGAGAAAGAACTGAAATGTGCCCGTGAGATGTGTGTGTCACTTTAGCATGTCAGTTCCAGCTCTCAGCTTGTACTAGACACATTTTCCCCAAGTGAAAGTAACATCGAGTCACAGACAGCAGCACCTGGGCTCTCACCCCGGAATGCAGCCACAGCCAGCAGTTGTCATGGTGTGTGAAATGATGCAGATTCAGATGTTTGACTGTTTAATTTGAAAGTTTACATTTTTTATGATTGTGTTAGTGTGTAATTTTTGTACCATCAGTGGCTAGTTTTTGTCTGAAATCTTTTTTGGAATATTGCTTAATGTTTTGATTTCATGATAGTGAAGCTTGTATTCAGTGTTTTGCCAATTAATATTATATGCTTGTAATAAAAGCAGAAGAAAAACTTAACTCTCCTGGACTGGAAATGTTTTATCTGAAGTATCTGTAAGCTTACGGCAGATAATGTGTTACAGAGTATGATCAGCCCTCTCCATCTGTAGGCTCAGTCATTCAGGGATGGAAAATATTCATAAAAATACACAGATTTTCTTTCTGTCCTTATTCCCTAACTGTAGTATAACAACTATTTATATAGTATTCACTGTTTTGTTTGGATTTGATTTGGTTTTGGCTTTTTGAAACAGTCTCTTTATGTAGTCCTTGCTACACTGGAATTCTCTATGTAGACCAGGCTGGCCTCAAATTCGCAGAGATCTGCCTGCCTCTGCATCCTAGGTGCTGGAATTAAAGGTATGGGCCACCATGCCCGGCCATAGTATATAATTTACACAAGTCATCTAGAAATGATTTCAAGAATTCAGGAGGGTGTGCTGTAAAAAAAATTAGCTGTTTTATAAGAAGGAATTGAGCCTCCTCAGATTCTGGTGTCTACAGGGGATCTGACCTCATGGAGGCCAAGGGGAAGTGTTGGGAAGTGCTGTCAATGCCAGTAAGACATGCCTTCCTCCCCTGTGCTCGGGAGCACATGCTCACTCTACCATAGGAACACAGGAACACATGTGTGTGCTGGCTGCCCATCCACCTGTGCCCCTGGGTTTACCACCCCTCTGTTCCATCATTTCTAAAATGTTAACTCTGGAACAGAACTTCATTGAAATTGACGCAGCACGCAGTACCAGAGTTTGGCAGAAATACATTTGAAATAACATGTTATTTGTTGACAAAGAGAGGGTTTTGATCTGAGCTGTGTATGACAACAAAGATGCTGGAAAGGGCCTGCTGGTCTACCATTGGACTGAAAGGATGGTGACTTCCTATTTTAAACAGTTTACTCCCAGAAAATAGAAAAAAAGCACTTGTTGGACTTACAGTTTCTAAAAGTTAAATCTTGCAAACCTGAGAAAACTGAAGTTGGAAGGCAAGAAGTTAGTGACCAAAATTGGATTTTTTTTTAAGTTTTTCGAGACAAGGTTTCTCTGTAGCTTTGCGCCTTTCCTGGAACTCACTCTGTAGACCAGGCTGGCCTGGAACTCACAAAGATCTGCCTGCCCCTGCCTCCCGAGTGCTGGAATTAAAGGCATGCATCACCACCACCCGGCCAAAATTAGATTTTGATGGCCTTAACTGGCCACGTTTCTGTGTGTTTTTGTGTATGTGCCACGGGCAGATGTTAAATGTCCTACTCTATCACTTTCCACCTTACCCTTGAGATGGGTCTCACTGAATCTGGAGCTATGCAGTGGCCACCAAGGTCTTGTGAGCCTCCTGTCTCCCCCTCTCTTGTTACTGGAATTGCAGGCATGCATAACCACACCTGGCTCCTTATGTGGGTTTGAATTCAGGTCCTCAATGCTTGCACAGGTGTGCTTGTCCACTGAGCAACCTCCTTAGCTCCTTAGCGTCTGACTTAGGTTTCTTTTTCTTTTTTTATAAATATTTTTATTTTATAATTAATTTAATTTACATATCAGCTCCCCCAGCCTCCCCCCCCCCCAATCCATCCACTATTCCCACCTCCTCCAAGGCAAGGTCTCTTCTGGGGAGTCAGCCCAGCCTGGTAGATTCAGTTGAGGAAGGTCCAGTCCCCTCCTCCCTGCACCAAGGCTATGCAAAGTGTCTCAGCATAGGCCCTAGGTTCCAAAAAGCCAGCTCATGCACCAAAGACATGTCCCGGTCCCACTGCCTGGGGGCCTCCTAAACAGTTCAAGCCCATCAACTGTCTTCACTTATCCAGAGGGCCTGGTCCAGTTCCATGGGGGCTCCTTAGCTATTGGTTCACAGTTCATGTGTTTCTGCTAGTGTAGCTATTTGTCCCTGTGCTTTTTCCAATCCTTTTCTTGTTTTTGGCAAGTCACATCTGTAAGAAAACGGAGAAACTGTCTTAGTTGCTTTTCTGTTACCATGACAAAACACCATGATCAAGACAACTTATAGGGGGAAAAAGCATTTAATTTAGGGTTCATGATTCCAGGGGGTAGTAGAGCGTATGACTATCATGGTGTGGCAAATTGCAATAGGCAGGCAGGCATCATGCTGAAGCAGTAGCTGAGCACTTACATAATTAAATAACAGCCATGAGGAATGGCATGGGGTTTTGACACCTCAAAGCCCACCCCTAGTGACACACCTCCTCCAGCAAGGCCACACCTCCTAATTTTTCCTAAACAGCTCCACCAACTATAGAACAAGCATTCAAATATATGAATCTATAGGGGTCCGTTCTCAATCAAACCACCACAGTAGCAAACAGATCTTCATATCCAAGTTGGTTGCTGCCATCCACTTTCCGGGTGAGATCAGTGGATAGCAGGATGTGAGATTCCTGTTATTTGAGACTAGAGCTGCAGCACAAGACAGTTCCTTCAGGGAGATGGTGTCTGTCCCTTCAAAGGCCCACAGTGGCTACATGGATGCAAGTCCAGGGTGCCTCTACCATAGTAGGTGGTCCTGTTCCTGTAGTGCTTTTCTGTGTGCTCTACCTGGCCATGTGTGGCATCATGGAGTCAGATGTCATCTTGTGAAGGTGAGAATAGGTGATATTTTGATGGAGTTGTCAACTGTCATTGCTCTTCAGAAGAAGCCTACCTGAGAAGCAAGATGTAATGGAACTCAGATAAAGCCACAAGACACACAGCAATACATAGATTAGTAGAAATGGGTTAATTTAAGATGAGTGAGTTAGTTAGTGATAAG